CACAAATGAGTACGGTATTTGATACTCTTCATAGGCCTATATCGTTTATATATAAAATAAATAATTTCGAACCTAGAATTGATTCGAACCTTGTGGAAAAACAGTTACTAATTCATAGGCCTATTATACATCAGACCAACATCATTGTAATATACTAATTTTCCATTAAAAAAATTATTTTATAAACTCTCTACTTTAACATTTTTTCTAAAACATTTTCGAGAATTGTGGCAACAACGAGATCGGTCTATAATTATTAAAAACACATTTCTATCCAGACTTAAACATTGTTATTATCTTAGGATTCAAATCATTAATACAACTTATATACGATAGTTTTTTACCTTCCTTTACTGAGTTTGTTTCCATTGATTTCCACAAATTCGAAAACACGACCACCATCTTGCCTTGCGCCCTCTAATATGAATTTAATATAGATATTTTAAAAAAGATTTCATTGTTTTCGTTTTTAAGTGTTACATATGGTCAGGTGATTAAACAGTCTCTGTTACTCTTTATCTAGAAGGGGTTTCCGTCCGGAATCATCTCAATGTTTTTTTCCTGATAAAGAGTGTGAACGATACATTCTTTTTTTAAAACATGGTACGTACCGGCACACTTCCTATAATATTAACGTTTAAATACAACCAGAGCAGACAGCTATACTGAAGTGGTATAAACCTTAACATAGATGGAGAACCTATATGACAAACAATTTACTAGCAGAAATAATAACCGAGGTCAGTATGATCGAAGAATGATAACTAGTTTCAGTGGCGTAACGCTGGGCCAGGGGACCCCGTGGCTTTCTGAGAGTGGGGCTTTTTGGGTCCTTGTGGGCAATTCTATTGTGAGATTTTAGATGTGCTTGTTTTTTAATGTTTGTCATTGCACTCTAAATGTTTTAGTAACGACAAAATAAACGATATGATATGAGTGACGAATCCAGGCATGTTTAATTGGACTAATGGCAGGGCCGGAGCCACGATAATTGCAGTATCATGTTGAGAGCGAAGCGAGCACTGAGTCTCTGGGGGCCAGGAGGCCACCAAGGGCTACCAGTCGGGTTGATTTGCCAAAGGCCCTGGGAAAAAATTGCTAATTTTCCATTGTATACACCAATTTTAATGATGTTCTTTGAATTGTACTTTGAATTCAAAACAGGCAGGTTTATGCAAGAGAAAGAATTGTTATTCACATCATTATTGTTATTTTAGTATTTTGCATTTTGGCATTGACAAAAATCTAAGATTAGACCTATGAACGAAAAATAATACTGCTATGGTACACTTTCAATCAATACTTGCAGGAGCGGATCCAGACCTTCGCTATGGCAAAGGTCAAGGTGAGAGATAACATAATATTTTTTTTTTTAAATATAAACTGATTGCAGTGCCTGGTTGTCTGTCAAATAGTGGTAAGGTTGAAACCTGACCAACAATACCGGTGGCTACGGCCCTGCCAATGGAGAGACTTTCACTGATGAATGTCCAATACCACCTCAGCCCAACCATGGTTGGGGAATATTTTATTACGGCACCTCGAAATGGCCGGAAATGGCATTCACATACTTTAAAACATTTAGGGGCCCTTTAATTCGCCATTGGAATATGATACTGTATATGATATAGAGTCGATGTGAGAGACACATTATGCTGTTATGTATCAAAAAAGCAATTTTGGGTCATAATACTAAATCGAGGACCATGTAGTTAGGGGCCCCTAGGGTTCTTGACCCTTGCGGACCGCCGCACGAGAGCGCATAGGCGTTACGCCACTGACTAATTGTTGTTTTAGTAAGATATGCGTGCCAGTTTCCAGTTCAGGAAAACGATAGTTCGCACACACACACACCAATGACCATTATAGATTACCGACAACGATCTCACCGTTGCAAAAGCATGGCAAAGTCATACTATTATATATAATATGTTGTTGATGAAATAACTCCATGTATACTGTTTATGATAATTTTTTTTTCTCCATAACCTCCGCGGACATAACACTGAGATTTTGCAACCTTACGAAAACGATAACGAATACGCCACTATCATTTTCGTCATTCGTGCCTAAATCATGGTTAAAAGTATGCTTAAAGACCAGAATATGATCATTGATTATTCAAGCAAAAGATATGAATCGCCTACGGTGTGACAGATATGCTACAGTAGTGGAAGGGTTGTCTAAAACTCTGATGACGTAAACGTTTTTGTTATCGTAATCCTAAACCCACATTTTGAAAACCAGGCATATACAGTAAACTATTTGGAAATTATTTCCAAAGGAGAATCCTGCAGACCAACCCCGAGGGGGCATAGACACAAATGCAACGTTCATAGAAAAAATGAAATGTTTGTGTCAGCTTTTTAAGTCTACCTACTAAACTAACTAAATCCTTTCCAAGCCACTGGGGCTTATGGGGCTGGGGCTTATCCCCAGTTTCTGTAGTGTGAAGCGGATGAGAGTTGTACTCCCCCTTGACGGAACACTAGTCCATCGCAGGTTAGTCCATAGCAGATTGCCGGTACCCATTGATACAGCTGGGTGGACTGAAGCAATGTAGCTAAAGAACCTTGCCCAAGGACACAAGCGAATCTATCTGCACAGCAGAGACTCGAAACCCCGACCTTACGATTGAAAGTCCGAGCCTCAACCGCTGCGCCAAACAGAGTCTAATCCTGCTAATTAGCGAGCCTCTGTAAGAACTGTAGTACGCCAAAGTGGTGAGAGGATAAGCAAGCAAGTGCACTCAACGCATATGTTTCCGGTTTTAAATTTCGCTGATAACTAATGTTATTACTAGAATCACTAAATACTGTAAGAGTGCCAAATGCATACAATAGGGTCACTGTAATATAAGCCTATTTGAATAACATATTTCAAACTCACTAATCTAATTTATCAACGTTAAAGTCATCGTCGTATATACTGTAAGATAATAAAACAGTCTAAATAGGTACTCGTTTCGATCTACGGCTACAATGTAGATCATTTTTTAAACACATTTCACACCAAAAATCTAAAGTGGACCCACCTTTTTGTCGCTGCATAGGTAGATTTTAGGTATTAAATGGGTACAAATTCTTACAATGGTCCACATTATTTAGATCATACGAATGAAATGGGTACAAATTTTAAAAGATGAGTCTACAATAGATAGATTTTATGAATTAAATAAGTAAAGGATAGGTCCACATTAGTTAGATTTTGGGTATAAAATGGTTACCTACAATGGTCCACATTATTCAGTTTATACTCATGGAATGTGTTTTATTCATAAAATCAACCTAATATTCCGGACCCAACTTTTAAAATATGGAACCACTTCATGCGTGTAAACTGAATAATGTTGACCATTTTAAAGATCGGGACACGTTTTATACCTAAAATCGAACTAATGTGAAACGTCTTTTAAAAAGTGGGCCCATAATGTCATGCATATAAACTGTTAAGTAATGTGGGGCTTTTTAAAAACTAGGACCCATTTTTATCTAAACGCTAATGTGGACTTACAAACATTTTTCAAAATGGACCAGTTTAAAAACATTTACCTTTTTTATGCATAAAATATAACTATAGTTAATGCGGACCCATAGGGCCTAGTTTTAAATGTGGACCCATTTCATGCGTAGAAACTTAATAATGCGGACCATTTAAATTGTTTTTATATATTTTATACATAAAATCTAACTAATGTGGATCTAACTTTTAATGTGAACCCAATCCATGCGTATAAACTTAATAATGTAAATCATTTAAAAATTTGGGACTAATTTTACACATACAAGTCAATCTAACTAATGTGGACCCATGTGATTAGTGCAGAAAATAATGAACTCAAATTCTGTTTTAACTAAGATATATAAGACTGCTTTAGAGCCAAGAGCGGGCATCTTTAAGACAATTTTCGAAACGTTGAATTGTATGTCTTTGATGGATCAAATGGAATGTAAAGTTGTAAATTGTCAGCGTAAAATGATAAAAAATTGAGAAAAATAATTTGGGATAGTGGGGCTATGTAAAGAGAATAGAGAGTAAAACCAAAATGGATCCTTGGGAAACACTACATGTAATTACTTTAGGAGTGGAATTCTACACCGTTACTTATCAATGAATTGAGAGCGTTAAAGCAAGCAAGATTAGAGTTGCCAAAGCAAAGGTGAAGACCATCAATTGATGATCAACGAAGTCAAAAGCAACCAATAAGTCAAGAATTACAAGAGCCACCTCTTTCTTTTGATATATGACCGCAGTGATGCCGTTATGTATTCTGATGAGAACAGTGTCAGTGCAGATTGAAAGGAGAGGTTATGGTTTATAAGGTAGGACATTCACTGGAAGACACCATCCCGAGAACTTGGCTTTTAATCGTGCCTTGGTTAAGACAAATGTGTTTATTTTTTCGTTTGTTTTGGCACAATTTCCCTGCTGATCTTCGTAATAAACTACTTTGTAACTGACTGTTTCCTGCCCATTTTAATATAAATTATTAACATTTTTACATTTTTTTTTGTTTTGTATAAACATTTTGTAGCATTTATAGCTTTTAACTGTTTGAATACTTTTATATAATTGTTCCAAATTTTTAAGCAGTTTTGTATTTTAGTTTTTTGTTGGGCTATGAAGAGAGATATTTTACGAGATATGATATAATGATCTTGGACATGAGACCGATTTGAAAATACTACATCGATCTCTACTTGCGCGTTGTATTATCTGACGTCATATCCATAGAGAGTTTCAGAGAAGCTCATACAACTGCGGCGCCTATTTATTCAGATGAAAAGACCCGCCGAACAGGCAACACGCGATACTACTTGAACAGGAGTTTTGTTTGTAAATCAAACTGGTAACCGAAACTTACTGACTATTATACAACTAGAATATCACATTACTACTGTAGGAAATGGTTTCTTTATTAAAACTACATGTTCTGCTATTATGTTGCCTAACCTGCTTCATTATCAGATCTACTTTAGGTAAGTAATTTTGCTTGATTTTTATTCTCATAAATTTTTGTACGTGGCAAGTAGACGCATGTTGCAAAAATTCCGGGCTGCCGACGGAAGGAAAATTTTAGTGGAGGCCAAGATTTGATTGTGAATTTTGAGGGTTGCTTAAAGGTTCAAAATCCCAGGCATAAATATCTTTATAAAAGTATCAATATACCTAAATGAAATCTTTTAGAATAGTTTGTAATGTTTTAATAACGAAATGTTAAAACTTTGGTGGGGTGTGGATACGAGGACCATTTATTTAATGTTTTTGGACCAGTGACTAAACTATATAAACTCTAACTGCGTTAACTAAAGCTTTTCAAACTAGCTGAAACTAGGTTAAACGCAGAATTACCGTGGAATGCATGAACAATTTTCGCTCTCAATCACTGAATTAACATGATATTACTCAATGTCAATGAACTAAAATTGCACTAACATACACAAGGTGGACTCATGTAGCGCACAATGGTTGAGTCTCGATGTACGTGACTATAAGATTACCATTGCAGCAATGTTCGAGTTTCACTAACGTTGCGTTAGTTGTGAACTTGATTTTCATTTTTTCCTTTTAATTTTATTTTTTGTACTATTAGTATTTTTGTTTTTCGTGTTTTGTTTTACTTTATACCTTTTAAAGATTTTATTTGTTGCAATTTTAACTTTCCTTCTCATTATAGCAATTAGATATGCATGAAAATGTTTGCTTAAATCACTGAATCGCTATGAACTAAAAATGAACTGACAGGCTGATTTACTCACGGTCGGCTCATATAGCGTGCAGTGGTTGAGTCTCTACTATAGTCTTACTATCGTCGAGTTATATTCCCTGTTTATTTTTACTTGATTTTTAGCTCCAATGAGGAGCTCCAGAAACACTCGGCTGATTAGATCTTTTTTGTATGGGCGGCTGATAGGGTTAATATACTCTACTGTCTCTATTACGAATGCGCTGCTATCCTCAGCATTTATTTGTCCAATAATAATATAAAATACATCAGAAAATTGTGTTTTGTACAATACACATTTTTTAAGAAAAAAAAATATGGAACATCAAGACAACACAAAAACATCAATACGGAGAAAAACTATACATATAGGCCTATCAATTGAATAATGGACTTTTAGAAAGATTTTATATACAAAATTCAAAATTGATAATATTATATCAACTATTATCTGTACATATTAAATATCAATAAAAGCGGTCGTTAAAAATTTTATTTTTAATATTTATATTAATTTAAGTATAATTATCATTATTAAAAGAATTATATGTTATAATTTAAAATCTAAGTCTAAAACAGCAAAAAATGAAATAACATTGCAATGAAAGAAAATAGAAATAAAAAAAGACATTCAGAATTAAACATAAAAAAAGATTACCTAATAAACCTAATGATTCGAAAAATTAATGGATGTCGAAACAAATGGTTTATTATATTGGCTGGTTTGGGTGTAATGCAAACCTAATGCGGAGTAATGAGGGGAGGAAATTTTTGAAATAGGACAGGTTGGGATAGAATACGTGTGACCATGTTTAAAAGAGAATTTTCATATCACATAAAATTAAGTATGCCATCTTACTCGCTCTACGTATAATTTTTTTTTTAAGTAGACCTTCCAACACAGACGATCAAACAAAAACAAAATCATACTGGATATCATCGAAGTATAATACATTTTAAGAAAGTTGGTATCAATTTTAAATTTATTTAATTGACGCATCATATGTAGGCGTTTTTGCCCTTTCTTGTATATTAGAATTCTATTTAAGTTAATTATCTATCCTGGTTCCTTTATCGGAGATTTCGAGACTACGAGATGTTTTTTTTAAATTATTATTATTTATTTATTATTATTATTTTTTTTTTGTTTTGTTTTTAGCCGTTGTTTTTTCTAACTTACTTTTCTTCTTCAATCCCGTTTTTTTTTTTGACCTACACTTTCTTCATTTTCCTTGCTTGAATCTTCTTCAAATATTGTCCAAGCAAAGACAATATCAACGATGTGCATATCAAGTTATGACATCATTTTACATATTTTGAAGATTATATATTAGCAATCAGTTGATAGTTCAAGTTTTTATTGTGTTTTAATTTCATACATTTCTTCATAATTTTCTGTATGTTTTTATTTTTGTTTTCCGTGTTTTATTTTACGCTAGACTTTTTAAATTTTAACATCACTTCTAATTATAGTAAAGACGAAAAGCCGTATGTTCTGTTTTACAAACAGATATAGTAAATCTAGTTATTGTTGATGTTTTTTCGTTGATGGTGTTACTATTATTACTATTATTATTATTATTATTATTATTATTATTATTATTATTATTATTATTATTATTATTTTTATTAGTGTAGATCAAAGCTTATATTGTTTGCAATCACAGGTTTTAAAGTCGAGATTTCGAAATAATATAGTAAAATCAAATGAGAATATTTATAAGTTTGAAATTTGACCTTTTTTTATAAGTAATTGGAGTGAGAGTTTACCCAAAAAGTATTCATCATAAAAGCATGATCACATAAGTTCTATTTCTATATTCGTTCTATCGATATCGCTGCGTTTACAAACAGTTGCTCTGAATATTGATACTCACGTGCGCGTAGAATCTCATGTAAATTTCACTTCAATTTCTCATAAAATGAAGATTAGAATTCAAACGGAAGTTCCCATTTTTTTTCCTTGTGTGGTAAAACACCACTTTTATTCATTTTCATTTTCAACATGAATTCATAATCATCATTTCTTTGTCAAACTTAGTCTAAGAAGTTCCCATTTAATGTTCCCGTTCTTACACACTCTACAGTCTATTTACTCATGTTTTCATAATATATTTTAAAGTTTCCTCAACAAAAACATCAATATTTTATTATGTGATGAATGTATAAATTTTCATGTTTTTTCCTCCAATTTTTCTGCCATATTTCTTGCCATGACTTGACCTGTAATTCTGTGTCAGAGAATATTTAAATACATTAATATGTTCTGTTATGATGATTTTCAAGAAATATTTTAATGCATATGCTTGTAAAATTTTTGTATTTTAATGTAGGCTTCGGTGGATGTGCTCCTGATAAATTTCAATGTGAAGACGATATATGCATTCCAGCGGTTTGGAAATGTGACGGTCAAAACGACTGTGCTGATGGCTCCGACGAAAAAGAATGCAGTATGCACACAACGTATTTGTAGTTTATAATAATTAGAGTAATGAATTTTGTGTGCATTTTTCTAATAATTGTTTCCTTTTAGTAACGTTCTTCCGGGAATGGGCCTTTAAGCATTCATCGTATTGATGGTTGATGCAGCTAAATGAAATTCTATATTCTACTTTACAAGTCATAAAATGGCAAGGCCAGTTTTCAGCTAGCTCTGCAACTGAATTACGACAGTCCTTCCCAGAGTCAGAATGAACCTGATCGACCAATGCTTGACATTAGTCAGTAAATATGTCACCGACCCATTTATTGCTGAAATTTCTTCAGTTGGTTAGCACGGTCTCCATGGAGTGTCTCTATAATCACGAATGGATTTTGTCTTAGCTAAACTCTGTAGCCGTTCCACCCATCCATCCATCCACCTATTAATAATAGACTGTTAAATATATAAACTTTCCTGTCTTCTTTTACATATTGACCATTGAATTCAAAAACAATAACCTATATGTAATAAATTCTTAAATAGTTGACACTTGCCTTCAGGAAAAAATTTCACAGAATGTAATATATTTTAAATGACCTAAATAATTATGAATTTTTTTTTCTGTCTTGAAGGGCAGAATACATGCAATTCAGAAGAATTTACTTGCGACGACCAAAGTTGCATACCAAGCAGGTGGAAGTGCGATGGTGAACCTGACTGCCGGGAGGGGACTGACGAAAAGTCCGACGTATGCCGTAAGTACTACTACTTCGCATAACATCGTAACGCACCTTGTTCATGAACACATATACGAATCAGAAATGTTTTATCATTTTACCAAAACTAACCTTGCTGGCAAATATATCTTTAACTGGATCCACACCTTCGCTTAAAAAGCGTAAATGGGATAAAACACTTAAGACATGCGATCAGACATTTTTCGAGACAGATGCGCAAATTTGAGGGGTCATACGTAGCTTAAGTTCTCAGTGTTATTTTTTAGTTGCTTTATTTTTTAGTTGCTGAAGAGTTAGTTGATGACTTTAAAGTGTGTTAGTAAATAGGGTAGACTAAAAAAAATGATTTATCTGATTTCCCCCATTTATATCTAAACTGTCTGAACTACTTTTATTACACAGGTTAGTGTCTTGTTTAAAATTAGTTGGTGTTTTGAGCTGAGCGTTTGGCAAATTGGTATGGTTCCTGCCTCTTGCACGTCAGAACCCGGGTTCGATACCCGGCTCTGTGTCGAGTATTTAATTCTGGTCTTTTATAATAACAAAATACGCTCAGCTCCTCGAATAACCCTCTCGGGAGAGTTAGGCTATTTAAGGGCCATGTTTGTATCCGTTTGATGTTTATTTAAGGCATTAATTTATAAGTTAGCACCGGACCTGCTTACAGGCATTGCCTTCTTGGTTTGTATTGTACCATAGGTGGTGGAAATGAATAAAGTTTATTATTAATTGGATTGTTTATGAACGTCTTAATATAAATTTTTGGCAAATTTCACAGACCAAAGAAGAATTTTAAACTGACAAGGCCATCAAAACCACATCGTCCATACCAGCCCTGAGACGATGGCATGCCACGCCAATTTGGGGCGACCCCTCCCCCCTCTCAAACACAAGAAAAATTTAGATAGATCTATCGCCTTAGAAGTCATCCATTGTTTTCATCATTTTCACGAGCGTACAAAACGTACACTGAAGGGAGGAGGTTGAAGGTGTGTGTACGCTTTTCAAAAAGTACAAAAATGACAATTTGGAAATGTTAGCCTACGTTTTCGTACCTAGCAATTCACGAGTAAATGTTAAGTTTATCAATTGTATATACACAGCGTCATCTTGCATTCCTGATTAACGATGTGTTGGTAAGTATTGTGTACTTATAAATAATTTCGAAGTACATGGGAAATGCACTCTAGCCAAAGGCGGATCCAAGCTATGAAAGAGGGTGGTTCAAAATGTCTCAAAAAACCCCCCAAAATGACAAGGGGGTCCTGGGGACCTTCTCCGGGAAAATTTGGATTCCTAGATGGCCGGAAATGAGCTTTCTCGACTTCTGAGGAGTTTTTAATGACCTTTAAGCTCTTCAAAATTCAAGGTTTTTCTCCTCTTGAAAAAGATCAGGTAATTTTATCTCATTCTTCAGGCCATTATGTAGAGAAAAAAATCAAAGACATAAGCAATATATTGTTATATTCCAACAATATTGCGTAGAACCAGGGAACAGGGAAATTTCACTGTTCCCTTGTAGAACGCACTTTCGTAATTTGAACCAATGCCACCTACCTAAACCAAAGACAAAAATATATAGACAAAATAAATTTTCTGCATTGTCTAAGTATTAATCAAAGAGGGAATGTAATTAAATCGGCTGCGCGATAACGTACGGTACACTGTTAAGTTCTTTTATTATTGTTATTATTATTATTATTATTATTATTATTATTATTATTATTATTATTATTATTATTAATTATTATTATTATTATTATTATTATTATTGTATTATTATTATTATTATTATTATTATTATTATTATTATTATCTATGTCACAATGTATGGTTAATACAAAATCAATCACTGGGAGGATAGGCTATACATGTGCGTTGATTCCTATAACCTTATTAAAAGGCATATAAAATTTTATTATATTTTGTTATTCTAAAATTACATCAAAGCGAAAACATATTATTTTAATTATTACTTTTTGATTAATGAATTATTATTTCATTATTTTAACGAATGCTATTCGGTAAAAAAATAAATCAAAAAAAAAAAAAAACCAAACAAACAAACAAACAAACAAACAAAAAACAAGTTTTGCAGGGAGTTGGTTTCTAAAAAGAAAGTCAAAAATAACCACCGATCACTGAGATCGAAAATGAACACAGAATCTGAAGAAGAGCAACGACGTGTGTGGTATGTAAATTTCAAATCACACAGTGTTGGAAGTGGAAAAAGAATGTTTTAAAAAATAATGAAAAATTGAGAATATATCTAATAAGCGTATAAAACTGTAATTGGCAGGTGGTAAAAAAAGCTAAAATTTCCAGGCCCGTATATCCAGTAGTTGGGGTGTTACAAAGAGTAACGCACCCAAACAAATTTGATAAGAGCCACATTTCCAAGACAGTCAAGAATGTACTGAATATAAATTTGTGATTTTCCGTGTTTTAAAAAAAATCTCAATTTTTTACATTTTAACCAGTAGGCCTAATCTACTCAGTCTGTCGTAATTCGGAAAAACGCAATTTATTTAATTTTGAAATGTTGGCTTAAGGGCACGCTGTGGATGTAATCTATCATGGAACGCGATCATTACTCCAAACAATTTTTCGAAATATGAAATTATTATGAGAGTTACTCATTATATCCTACTATCCAACCACTAAGCATTGAAATCAGGGAACAGTGGCATTCAACCAATCACAGAAGACATTTATGCATATTTAATTATTTTCCCAGCTGGTGACGGTACAATAAAAATGCATTATTATTTAACTTAAAAGTTGTGGTCATAAAATTTATTTTGGAACCGCATTATTAACACAATTATTAGGTTAATATTTCCACGTCGGCTAGACTGGGTTCCAGTCCCTAAACGTTTTCTTACACGTCGGCGCGTGCACTGAAAACGTATTTATTATTTTAATTTTTGTAAATTGGATTTAACATGTGTATAATGATTTTGATAACAAATCATAATTCTCTGTACTGACTACTAAACATTTAAAGAATGAACTTCCTTATGTTGTGGTCATATTAGACTGTTATATTTTTAAAGAAGACCATTCAGCAAACAATATAAAACAAAATTCCCACGTCGGTGCATGCATAAAACGTATAATTTCCTGAAATTTGGATATAGAAAGGACTTCCTTTTAACTATTAACTTTATAACTCTGGATACTTTATGGCTAAGGACTTCGCACATTAAACTGATTCCAGACAAATTAGACTGTTAAACATGTACCAAAACAAGTATTGAATACCATTTTGTGTGAACTTGCAAACAACAAAGATTTCTAATAGCAGTTCATCCTATTCTTGAAAAATAGACTCTAAACTCTGCACCCAATTCATGCTCGTATGACCCACCAGAATGCTATGTTTATGAACTGCAAATACAGTATATTGTGATTCGTCACTTAGAACCTTCTCTACATTCTATAGAACAATCCATTCTGAACCATTAGAATGTTAATAAACTACATCTATTTAAATGTTTGTTTCCTTGTTATTACAGAGGCAAGAACTTGTCGAGCTGACCAGTTCAGCTGTGGTGAGGGCAGTATCTGCATTCCGGCAACGTGGCAATGTGATCGTGACGCAGACTGCGACAACGGTGCTGATGAAGCTAATTGTGGTAAGTTTGAAAGAATTTGTAATCTACTCTATATTACCCCAAATGAATGTGTTCATATCTCGCACTAAAATATTAAGATCATTTAATATGAAACTGTTTTGTGCATCTTTACTTAATTTCTAAAACATAATTATGGTATTTCAGAGGCCGTAACATGTACCGCAGATGAATTCACTTGCGGAAACGGAAAGTGCATAATTAACCGTTGGGTTTGTGACCAGGATGACGATTGCGGCGATAACACTGAAGAAGCCTCTTGCCCACCAATAACATGCGCCCCGAATGAGTTCATGTGCAATAATTCCTTCTGCATTCCTGATCTCTGGAAGTGTGATGGTGACTACGATTGCCCCGACCTTTCCGACGAGTCCAGCGACCACTGTGCTCCTACACCACACCACAGCCGCTGTTCGGTTCTTGAGTTTGAATGTAATAATGGCGAATGCGTTCACACCAGTTGGAAATGCGATGGCGCACCAGACTGTACAGATGGGTCTGATGAAGATGGATGTCGTAAGTACATTAAAAATTATGTTATAAAAAATTGTTTATTTCTTTGTTTTTTAACAAAATAACTGTGCCCGTTACATGTTCTAACTGAAGATCGTATACTGATCACGGCAGCTTTTTACTGCTTATTTTGAAGCAGCAGTGATAACGTGTTACCCTACCCAGTTCATCTGTAGTAACGGAGCGTGCATCGATGAAGTCCGTGAATGTGATGGAGCTCCGGATTGTACTGATAAGTCTGATGAACATATTGCATGTCCTAGTGGTGAGTTTGCATTCTAGAAAAGATTTGAACTCTGCACCGGATTCATAGAGAATAGAGGGTCTGAAAGGGTTTATCTCAGACTTTTAATCAACAAAGCCTCTTGGGTACTTCTGTTTGCCTATGCTTTATAAGGAATTGTATACTAATTTGTAGATATTTATATCAAAGAGTAGGGGAGACGGGGGTCAGTTGTTACAGGGGTAGATTGTTACAGTGGTCTTATCCCCAAATAGGAAAAGTAGAGGTAGGTATAACCGGTGTCATATTATAGCGCGCTGTAAGATCCATCATCGCCGGCCGTAGCGTGACGATCCGAATGCCTGACAGGAAATGTAAGTAAAATGTTTGTTTTTATACCCCAAAAGTAATTTTTTTTATGACAAACTGTTTCTGTAATAGCTTTCCCTCAAGTAGATGGATAAAGAAAGTTTATATATTTATGTGAAGCATGACCATTACCTAACACTTTCATAGGCCATTACCACACATTTCTACCTACAGGCAAAACTATCTGTGTTTGAATATAAAAATAGCACGTGGGGTAAGTTGTTACGGGTAAGTTGTTACTGTAACAAGGATGGCCACATAGCGAGTGTACCGAAGGAGGGGCACACGTGCGATCATTGTAAAGAAGAAATGGACATTTCTGATTGACTGTTTTGTTGAGTAGTTAAAATGCATTATAGTGCGGTCTTACAGTTAACCATAAGGCTAGAATGATAATGTTGTCTCTTTTATACACTTTAAAGCATGTTTGTTTGCATATTTTAAACATTTTATCTAGTTTGTACAATGTAACAACTTGCCCACATGGTATAACAATATACCCCGGACCAGGGGTAATTTGTTACAGTTGACAATTCATTATTTTAATTAATGATTAATTAACAGATTGATATGACAGTTGTAATTGCTTCGTTTTATACCCAATATACTGTTCTTGCATTAGAATAGAAAATGTGTGTTTGTCTCATTCAATTACGTAATTAAGGAACAATATGTAAATTTTGTAACAACTGACCCCGGTCTCCCCTAGAATTCCTTCATGTTGTATTCTTCATTATTAAGCTTCTAAAGAATGCAACGCAAATGGGGATTTCTTGTGCAAGAACGGTAGATGCATCTTAATGACACAGACATGTAATGGAAATCCCGACTGTGGTGATGGGTCTGATGAAGAGATTTCAAAATGTGGTAGGTTCATATTTTTTGAATATTTTTCAAAAACCATTACATTTCATTTCATTTATTGATAACTTTGTCTTGAAATGTTATTACGTGTTGTAAACAATAACCATTTGTTTTCTCTATTCTGTGTTTTGTAGGTGTTAATGAATGTGCTACGAACATAAATAACTGTAGCAGCAATGCAGAATGCATTGACTTGCCAATTGGTTACTCCTGTTCCTGTCCAGACGGCCTTGAGTTGGATGATACCAATCAGTGCGTGGATATAGATGAGTGCAAGCAGGTAAATCTAAAGGTATGCAGCCAGGGATGCGTTAACCATGAAGGAGGCTACAAGTGTTACTGTCAGGAGGGATATATTCTTGAACACAAGTCATACTGTCGCGCTATTGGAACAGATCCACTCGTCATTTTTGCTAACCGTGTTGATTTACGCGAATACGATCCACTTAAAAGGGAATACCGAATAATAGTAAACAATCAGGAAGCAGCAGTGGCTTTGGATTACGATATCAAGAAGAAGCAGGTTTACTGGACTGACATCACCCAGGAGCAGATCTTCCGTACCGACATCAATGGCACTGGTAAGCCAGAGGCGGTCATTACTGTTGTGAACACACCAGATGGTATTTGTATTGACTGGGTCTTTAATAACATGTACTGGACTGATGCTGGAACCAACACCATTGAAGTTGCAAGCCTGGAAGATACAACCAAACGTGCCATTCTCATATCGGAGGGCTTAGATGAACCAAGAGCTATTACTGTTGACCCAAGAATAGGGTAAGTTGATTTATTTTCATTTTGATTGTTTTCTTGTTTGTATGTCTGGTTTGTAATTGTAATAGAATAAGCATTTAAAAATATCCAATTTTCTTTTGCAAAATTTATTTCTGCAGTTACATGTTCTGGTCAGATTGGGGTAAGAGAGCTAGGATTGAACGTGCAGGAATGAATGGACAGCAAAGACTAACACTTGTAGATACGGACATCGAATGGCCAAGTGGCCTAACCATCGACCTAGTCAGTGATCTTCTCTTCTGGGTGGATGCTAAGGTGCACAGTCTGAGCAGCATCGACTACAGTGGCCTGTGTAGACGTACCATCCTCCAATCCGAAACAATTTTGCCTCATCCATTCTCCATTGCTGTGTTTGAAGACTATGTTTACTGGACCGATTGGAATAAGAAGAGCATTATTCGAGCGAACAAATTCAACGGCGGAAACCGTACCACTCTGGTTAATGGACTCTTCTCTCCAATGGGCATCCAGATCTATCACCGTCAAAAGCAAATAGAAGGTAAATAATTTTACACCGTATTTTACCGAGTACGAGCCATAGTGCCTAGCTACAAAGATGATGAACATTCGTTGGTTGGCTTATACAATGAAGCATTGGCACTTTTTAACTCATTCCTGATAATCATTATTACTGATAATAAATTAATATACTGGATTTACACCATTTCAAGCACAATATCAGGTTGTAAGTCATCATTATGGTTGGAGTTAATATCTATACTAACCAAGTTACTATGGAATATATTTAATTAGAAAACAAATTAAATATTAACTATTTACAAATATTGAGGGAATTCCACATGAGGTTAATTGAATGCTAACAAAATTGAAATCAATATTATATCCTTTATTCTTTCAAGAAATACTTTATTCAAAAAAGGTTCATGAAGGATGAAAACGTATTTGTAATTATAGGAAGATGATCTAAGAGTTTTTTTTTTCTTTAGGGATTGTTAACTATTGCGAGGGTCATAATGGCGGATGCTCTGATCTGTGCGTAGCAGCCCCTAAAGTGAACACGAGCTCCGGGAATTATTCCTGCCTCTGTGCTAGAAACTCTTCGCTATTGACAGATGGACGTACCTATAAGGGCTTAAACAAAAATCCACAGACACCTCCCAGCCCAATTGTCAACATTGATACGCTTACAGAATCGAATGAGGTAGAGATGATTGGTCGATCAGTTATTATAAGCATTATTGGTAGTCTAGTGTTCATACTATTGGTAGTCTAGTATTCGTTACAGCCTGCATTATATTGAGGTGTATAAATCATTTTTCTTTCTGAAGCAATATTTTGTTTAAACATTTTTTAATCCATGTCATAACATTTTCTTTCAAAAGTTAATTCATTTAACTTGATTGTTGTACAACCCTTTCATAATAGCTTTAACAAGTTATGTTTGAAAATATAATTATTTTTTTGTTTACAATTTTTTTGGAGTGTTAAAAAATAGAAGAAACTCAAGGAACGTTGATATAGCGAATATAAAAAGTACCAAAGGTCAATTATGTTTACATCATCTATAATAGTATGAACACAATCCTGATCGAGAGTATGAAACGGTTTTCCGGTGTTTGAAGGAAGGTTCTTGCGATACCCTATGGCTTCCCCGAGGTCCTCTACTCCTAAAAAAAGTTTCCTCCCATTAATTGTCATTCATTCTCTCCAAACAAAAACGTACATGACAGTCAGAGCTGAATTACATGTTTTCCAAATTTCTGTACCTGTTATGGGATTGTGGAACTAATGACAACGCCTACATCAGTGGCACATCATTAAAAAAAATTAAAAACTTCCTCATTTATCTTATTTCCAAGTGGGAAGGACGCTAGGATTTTTATGGGCCTGAGATGTCATTGGAAACTCTCGGTTGAAGAAACCCTGTAAAGGAATTAATGTTAATGTTCAATACCTAAATTAATGTAATGTTGATTGTCATAACTCACTGGTAGGTATTTCAGTAAATGTAAAATATACTTTTTCCATATAAAAATAATAGGAAATGAACACAGAATTGAATTTAGTTGGAATTAAGGAATTATAAAACAATATAATTACCAATCTTGTGTATTACTAACATTAATAAGAAATGATGAATCAATGAAGATAGAGAAAATCGTTGTGATGTATTATGGTAGACGTGTAATTCTCATGTTAAATTAAAAAATTTTAAAAATTAAAATAAAAAAAAAATCTGTAAATAAGATTTATCTGACATTAACCATGTTTAAATAAGTCTGTTATGGAACATTGATACAATATTAGACATTGCGTTAGATTTATCCAATCCATTACTGTGTGGTGGTTTGTACGTTACTTGCAGTACACAAAAAACCGCCTTCTTTCCTGTTAAAAACACCTGTAAATATTATGACTGTTGAACAGTTCAGTTCCATTGGTTTGTACCTACTCAGGAGATGATATATAGAGTAGTTATACAGAATATATAAATGGAAACTATACCAAAAGAGTAAACAAACAAGCATAAACTAATATTTTTGTAGATAAGGACTCGTCATATTGAACATAGCTGTTAACACTATTCAAAATGTTGTTTCATCTGAGAATACACGTTCATAAAAGTTTTATTTTTATTTACATGCATTGTATATATACTGTCTCTTATACACATCTAGATGTGTATAAGAGACAGCCACTGGGCAAATTTTTTCTCATATTGTCAATGCTTTATAATTCTTTACAATATAAAACAAAATTAAAAGAAAAATAAGAAATAGCGTTTTATAATTATTTTGTTGAGAAAATCGCACATTTCCTGTAATATTTTTATTTACTTTTATCTAGTATATATATATATATATATATATATATATATATACACACACCTCCAAACTTTTGACACACGTACCCCGCATGTACAAGAAAACACCAGCATAAACGTACCAACACCCCTTTACATAACCACACTTACCCATTCACTAAACATTATTAACTATTTGGTTTTCCTCCTTTCTCTCATTTTCAATAAACATAATTAACGTATCTTTGCTCAAGCCATTCTCTACGTTCTACAAACTTTCATTCTCTGTTTAATTTTTTTAACAAATTTTCATTATTACTATTATTTTTTCATTTTTTTTTGGTTTACATTTTCTATTATATGCTTATGGGTGTACATCGCCTATCTCTTAATGTTGGCAGTACACAAGAATTGTAAGTTCGAATTTTACAATAAAGTAAAGAAAACTACTAAAGCAAATTAATTGAATCAATTACATGCAGCTTTTTCTCATAAGGTATAGTACATTTCTCTACGTTCAGTATATATATATACCATACATATACACATACACATATAATATACATACACACATACACATATATATACATATATATATTATATATATATATACACACATGCATATACACATATATACATACACACACATACATATATATATATATATATGCGAACATACATATATATATATATATGTATATATATATATATACATATATATATACATATACATATACGCACATAATCGTGGATTCGAGTCAAATCTGAGAACAACTTGCGATTTTTTCCGCAATTGTTTTCACACGTACAGAGTATTCAGTACATTTCCACGTCAGGTATGGCAAAATTACACCTATTCTAGGCACTATTTCTGTTAGTACTTTGCTGTTACTGTTTCGATCTTGTTAGATCTCATCAGTGCATCTCGTGATTTCAAGAATGAAACGCACGACTGATCACACTACATTTATATTTTTATCATTATAATGAATAATTTTGTCTCTAAATAATTCGTTTTGATCGATCCCTCTTATTTTGTTAGTGCATGTATAATGTGTATGTATGTATTAATATATAAATATTAAAAAAAAATGAAATTAGCTGTTTTTTATTTTGATTGAATTGCTTAAAAATGGATTGCTTGAAAAGAGCTGTAATCATAATGTGTTCATCTAAAATATAAATATAGCCTAATAAAAAAAAGCCCTATGTTGTATACAAATTATAGTATTTTGTTAATGTTTACTACGGTATTATATAAGTTATCTAATTTATCATATATTTACATTGATTTCAAGTAATAAAATATTATTAATTTTATTTATTTATTTATTCACTAATATACTATTTATCTACTACTACATCTGATTAGTTGGATAATTTTTGATATGTTGATTTATAATTCCTAACGAATCAAACACTATTTTCGTTTCCAAGTAAAGTTTTACATTATGACAATAGTCGTATTCATAATAACATGCTGGTGAAAGCATGTTGGTATAAATTATTCTTTTATACCTCCTTGGTTAAATCGTTAAATCTTTAAGACCAAATCCTTAATTATAGAGGGCGGCAAACACATTTTTATGAATGTTCATATTTGTTAAAAATAATACTTTATAAAAATAGTAATTATTGATATTAAATTATATTGAAAAAAAAATGTAAATATTAATTCCTGCTTAGTTTAACAATAGAGATAAACTCAACTGACTGTACAAAATACATCGAAAAGTAAATGTTTCGTAAATAATGCCAAAAACGAATAAAATCCACTAATAAAAACTCCATGTACACAGTACCAATCAAATTAAATCCATTTAAAATTTCAAACATATACTGCAAAGCAAGTAAGAATAAAAAAGAAAACAGTACCTTCCTTTTCTCCAAATAAAATTTCAAGTTATCATGAAGCATAACAATCTTGAATTGTCATAATATTCCCATGGCAAGTTTGGGTTTTGGCTGTTTTGTTTGAATAATAATTACCTAGATCAAATCATGGCTCTATCGATAGCCTTCACCATTGGCGCATACCAATGATCTCTAGTATTATATCTGGATTGCTCATTGGCTGGTTTTAGTGAAGCCACAGACACCATTTGCAAATATTAATGTAACGTATCAGTCTAGTGAAAAATGGTTGACATTTGGTTAAAATAACGATTCTTGCAATACGGTATATATTAATTTAAAAAAAAAAATTAAATTTTATGAAATGTCTTTTTTCCTATCATCCTCTAATCATTCAACGCGTTTGTTTGTGGAAGTTTTAAAAAGCGCAAGCCAAGTTGCGACGAAGAACGAACGCGACAAAGACGCAGGCCCAACGGATCGTCTTTTTAATGAGGATCCGTTCAGATTGCCACTGACAATCAGCATGCGGCGTTGCGTCGTCTATAGCTCGCCGGAAGCAAATGTGGATTCGTCGTGCGACGGTCGTACGACGCAGTGAATGTCCGGCTTTAGTGATCGACGTCACTAACAACGCGACTCTCGCTCGCGCTTTTTAATGCCAAATGTCTAAAATTGTAGTCACATGGGCTCCCAAACATGACGTCGGTGGCGTCAATTTTTTTTTTATGTACAATGATTGCCCGATGAACAATCCGGCTACAGTATAATAGTAGAGATCAGAGTGGCGCAGGACATTGGAATATACAGTAGGTAAATATTCCAAGATGTCTGCGCCCATGGCCCATTTTTTAAAAGAAAGCGCAGACTCTATTCCAATCACTACCTCTACTAGGACTATTATTATAGCAAAGAATATAGGTATTCTTTGATTATAATAATTACCTAGATCAAATCATGGCTCTATCGATAGCCTTCACCATTGGCGCATACCAATGATCTCTAGTATTATATCTGGATTGCTCATTGGCTGGTTTTAGTGAAGCCACAGACACCATTTGCAAATATTAATGTAACGTATCAGTCTAGTGAAAAATGGTTGACATTTGGTTAAAATAACGATTCTTGCAATACGGTATATATTAATTTAAAAAAAAAAATTAAATTTTATGAAATGTCTTTTTTCCTATCATCCTCTAATCATTCAACGCGTTTGTTTGTGGAAGTTTTAAAAAGCGCAAGCCAAGTTGCGACGAAGAACGAACGCGACAAAGACGCAGGCCCAACGGATCGTCTTTTTAATGAGGATCCGTTCAGATTGCCACTGACAATCAGCATGCGGCGTTGCGTCGTCTATAGCTCGCCGGAAGCAAATGTGGATTCGTCGTGCGACGGTCGTACGACGCAGTGAATGTCCGGCTTTAGTGATCGACGTCACTAACAACGCGACTCTCGCTCGCGCTTTTTAATGCCAAATGTCTAAAATTGTAGTCACATGGGCTCCCAAACATGACGTCGGTGGCGTCAATTTTTTTTTTATGTACAATGATTGCCCGATGAACAATCCGGCTACAGTATAATAGTAGAGATCAGAGTGGCGCAGGACCTGTCTCTTATACACATCTAGATGTGTATAAGAGACAGATATATGCGAAGTCCATGATATTATTGCTGTCTCTTATACACATCTTGTTTCGTAAATAATGCCAAAAACGAATAAAATCCACTAATAAAAACTCCATGTACATATTACCAATCAAATTAAATTCATTAAAAATTTCAAACGTATACTGCAAAGCAAGTAAGAATAAAAAAAAAAGAAAACAGTACCTTTTTTTCTCCAAATAAAATTTCAAGTTATCATGAAGCATAACAATCTTGAATTGTCATAATATTCCCATGGCAAGTTTGGGTTTTGGCTGTTTTGTTTGAATAATAATTACTTAGATCAAATCATGGCTCTATCGATAGCCTTCACCATTGGCGCATACCAATGATCTCTAGTATTATATCTGGATTGCTCATTGGCTGGTTTTAGTGAAGCCACCGACACCATTTGCAAATATTAAGGTAACGTATCAGTCTAGTGAAAAATTGTTTGTGTTTGCGTTTGTTTGTGGAAGTTTTAAAAAGCGCAAGCCAAGTTACGACGAAGAACGCACGCGACAAAGACGCGGGCCCAACGGATCGTCTTTTTAATGAGGATCCGTTCAGATTGCCACTGACAATCAGCATGCGTCGTTGCGTCGTCTATCGCCGCCGGAAACAAGTGTGGATTCGTCGTGCGACGGTCGTACGACGCAGTGAATGTCCGGCTTTAGTGATCGACGTCACTAACAACGCGACTCTCGCTCGCGCTTTTTAATGCCAAATGTCTAAAATTGTAGTCACATGGGCTCCCAAACATGAGTCGGTATCCTCAATTTTTTTTTAATGTACAATGATTGCCAGATGAACAATCAGGCTACAGTATAATAGTAGAGATCAGAGACCAGAGTGGCGCAGGACATTGGAATATACAGTAGGTAAATATTCCAAGATGTCTGCGCCCATGGTAGAGGCCATTTTTTAAAAGAAAGCGCAGACTCTATTCCAATCACTACCTCTAGGACTATTATAGCAAAGAATATAGGTATTCTTTGATTATAGTAGAATGAAATACATAGAGTTATAATAAGAATACGTTTAATAACTCTATGTTGAAATATCTATTGCCTCTATTTCCAAACGTCAAGGAATAATTAGATCTATATGGAACGCCATCTGTGCAACAATTTTCAACCATAGTAAACATAAAGTGCATAACACAGTATCGTCTCTCAAGGACTGCACTGAAAATAAAACCGAAGTGCAAGAACATTTTTTTTTTAGGTGCAGTAACTAATAGTATTCAATACCGGTATGCTCTGTCCCTCGGTTTTGTTACCTCTATTGAAGATAGTTTTTGTTATTATGTATTATATTCAGTGTTGCTAACTGTCTCTGGGGGAAATATAATATATTCGCTTGACATTTTTAAGTTTGTTAAAATTAATACTCGCCATCTTGATAATATTACCTTTACTCATTCCTTTGCTAGAACTAATGCCTGTAAATATTCTGTTTTTAATTAATTTCCGCGGGCATGGGACACACTACCCAATAGTATTAGAAATACCCTTTTAATTAATTTAAGTTCATCCCGTAGGTCTTTTAAAAGTGTTTTAGTGATGACAGTGATAATGGTAATAATAGGAATAATAATGATATATACAAACACATAATTTTAACTGAGCAAATATATTTTATCATAGATTTTTTAAAGTTATTTTTGTATTATATTTATATTGTCGTTTTGTTTTTGTTTTTGTTTTTTTTTTTTTTTGTAAGGGAAGCAACTTGATAGTGATTCAGTTCACTTTTTGGTTTTTCCTGTTTTTGTCTCCTTTGATGTTTTTATGACCCTTTTTTCATTATTTGGGTTTGCTTTACTATTTTAATGTATTGTTCATTGTATTTTATATGTATGAGAGAAATAATTAAATGAAATGAAATTATTATTTATTTATGAGAATGTTGACAAACGTAATGCTCTAATCTATCCAATCTCCTCTCCCCCAGAGCCGTAGATAGAGAGAGTTTGGCCAACTTGGCGCATGGACGCCATGTCGTTAACAAACGCATGCGCGCGTATAGCTTTAACGTCTTGTTTTGGTGACAACATGGCCGGTGTAAGTCATGTGATTGCGATCCACCCAACCACACGCGCGTATATCGAATCCCGTGAAACAGAGTTGGCCAAACTCTCTATATCTACCGTAGAACCCTACTGCGCCATCAATTAACAACAGACTAAATGGATAATACGCATGCGCATCAGTACAGAACCGTGAGCTTGAGCTAGAACGCCATGTGGTAGATGTCACTGCAACGAAACTTCATTGCTTCCACGTTGCTCAGCCAGAGCTAGCTCTACAGCTCCAGGGGCGCACCTCCCTCTAGCTAGTCATACAAACAAGGTAGGCTACCTGTCCCTGTCTTAGCCTAGCCTTGTGTAAAACCATTCCAGTTTGTCTTTGCAGTTATTATATGCTTTCAATTGCATAAGGTAAGTAGGAATAAATGAATTTTGTGATAGGCTTAGGCATATGCCTTTCTAAGTCCATGGTATTATTGTATTGTATGTAGATTGTAGGCCTAGCGTAGATTATCTGAGTGAGTGAGACTGCCTAGCTAGGCCTATCCTAGTAGGCCTACACTACGGTACACTCTTGTAGTACGACGAGGCCTAAGGCAGGCCTAGGCCCTGACGAACGCAAGCTAGGCCTGCTCCCTAGACTAAGCTACCCTGGGTCTTACGCAACACTGAGAAAACTTTCAAACCAAGAGCAAAGTGTGTCCATTTAATCAGTGCTGTCCGATTTTTTAGATTTTTTTTTTCTAACATTAATAATTTATAGCCTAGCTAGGGCCTAGGCCTAGGCTAGCTTAGCCTACCTAGGCCTAGCCTAGATTTGATACGATACCGTATTATCCACTTCCATTTGCTAAAGGTATGGTAAATAATGGCATTATTACGTCGCCATCACCCAACAACGAAATGCCAGAATGTGCATGACATCATTTGTCAAGACTGGCATTGCAGACAACCTGCGATGAGCGGTGAAAAGCGTACTGGGTATGTAATGTACTGGTTATTATAGAACAAGATAACTAGGCAAAAACAAGAAGTACAATACTGCTGTACAGTACTTAGTACTGTCATCGATAAATAAGTGTATGGTTCCACTCAGTAAGGACTAAGAGTCATGTCATCATTTATTTATATATAGCCATATCAAACAGGGACTGAATTCTGTGCCGAACTCTTGGCATAAGCCTTTAGGCCGAGGCCTTGCTTGGATTCTTCACTTGGCGAACAATCTAGGCCTTGCTTTCGCTTGGCGGCGGCCCTGCTGCCTAGTGATAGATCAGTCTGTGGTGGCTTCAGTCATAAACTAATTCCTACGTGATCATACCAAGTCTGGAGGTATCAACCCCCAAAATCTCCAAAGTTTTAGCCCGAGAAATTTATACTGAATATACACGAAATTACCACGCTTTACAATCCAACCAAAATATTATACATACTTTGAATACACATGCAACTGTACATTTACCCAACTTGACGTAGACTCCGTCGCTGTTATGGTACTTCCACTAATCGTAAACATCGGCCAGTATCCAGATCAAGGGAATGAGTTTCCTCAGGCCAATCACGTGATAATATTAGTGTCAAATTTTCCGAATGTACTTTTGATGCAGGCCCATTTAAAACACTTTAATGCAATATAAACTGTGCTAGAAGGCCTACATGAATCTTCTTATTACAGTTTACAGTATATATTCAGTTTTTTAGTGCAAGTTTTGTCGTGTAAATAGACTAGACCAAAGATTGAGCTAAGCAGTTGGCCTGGACCTACGTCAAAAGTTTGGTCCTGAGGATTTCTGCCTTTCTTGATATGGTTATAGATAAACTACATGACTCTTATTACTGAGTGGAACCCTTACGCCTATTTATCGATTACAGTATTATAAGAAAAATACTGTACTCTCTGCCTAGCTAATCAAGTAGGCCAACATATTAGTTTGCTACAATAGTCTCACTGCTCACACTGTTGGCGATCTTCATTGGGTGATGGTAACGTAATGCCATTTACCGTACCTTTAGCAAGTGAAGTAGAAATACGGTACAGTATAGCTCCAGAAACAGCATATTATTTTTCACACACAGTGCCAACTGAAAATACTCTCCTTTTGTGTTTAAAACTTCATTGAGAGTACATTCTTATTTCATATTTCATATACTGTACATACTAGAGGAGGCATAATAGTACTATTACTATATTATTATTATACTAACTAACCTAACATTCTGTATGTATTTTAAATAGTCCACATCAGAAGTCATCATGTTTGTGTCTGGGGCAAGGAACGCCAAGATTGTGGGCTTGTGTTCACTGGCCAATTTTATCAATGCAGCAGACCGAGTGATCATGCCGATAGCCGTAGTACCAATGAGTGACACGTACAGCTGGAACCTTCAGGTTCAAGGATGGATTTTGAGTGCCTTTGCATGGGGTTATATTAGTAGCCAGGTACACCATTCATTTTATTTTTCACATAGTTACCAACCAGGAGAGATTTGAAATGCGTGACTATACACCAGTTGGTTGTGGGCCGAGCTACCAGGCATCCCTGGGAGTAAAGGTCAGTCACATAATCAACTGTTGGTTGTGACAGTGTACACACAAGACCGCACGCGCCTCAGAGCGTGAGGTTGGCTGGGTTGTTTTGGGTCGGGAAAGAGAAATTTTCTCGGTGAATTGATTCTCTAACGAGATAACAAAAACCTTTTACAGGGCCTTATAATGACTCAAGTTACTGTATGACCGTTTTTATATTTTTATTAAAAACCAATTTCTTCTAATTTTAAATACATTTTCCCCTGAATTTGTTATAATTCCTTATCACGCATAGACATGTGCTAAATGCTTGACAAATTTATGATCAAGCATTTGTTTCTGCAAAATGCTTGTATACATAGGCCTAGTTTGGATTTTCAAATTAAACATAGTGCCTACATTAAAACTCATTTATACATGGCCTTTTTAGAATATTTTTGTTTATGTACCCGGAATTGTCAACAAATAATTTTAAACAGCTTAAAAATGCTCAGATCGTCATACCCAACTGGGGCTCTGTCCCTGCACCCCGGCTACCCCGCCCCCCCTCCCCCCCAGTCAACTGGTATAGTCACTCATGTATTTCAAATTTCTCAGGTTGGTAACTATAAGAAAATGTATGATTATGGCACCGGAAATGAACCTAAGTTTAATTACTATTTTCCATTTTTCACAATTTTTTTATTATAATTTTTGAAAAATTTAGGGAGTCTGGGGGCCCAGGCCCAGGGTGTATTTGAGATATTTGTTTAGAAATGCTTGACCATGACAGTGATACAAAGAATAAATTTAAAAGATAGCTTGTTTTGGTGTATGCTCTCCCTCTCTTGTCTTTTCTTTTCTCCTTTTTTTTTTCTCGATTTGAGTTCGGATCCATTTCTAGGCCTGATCCACTTTTTTTTTTTAACATGATGTGTCTAGAGACCGTATGGTAGTACAATATTTCTTAGTCATGTTTGTGTAAATTAAAAGGTAAAACAGAGCAGTAATATTTTTTTTTTTCAATTTTTATATTCTCTTTATGTTTTTATTATGATGTTTGTCTTCTGATTCGCTGGAATTCTTTTCTCCAGGGAAATGCTTTTATAAGATTTACTTTTCTGTTTATAACTTAGTTCAAATTATAGTGCTACTTATGGTACAACATCAGCAATACTATATCAGTCAATGGGCACTAGACAGGGGTATCCATCTCGTAAGTTCTGCTGTAACCAATCCAATCCTCTCTTCTCATTTTTTTTCCCGAATTTCTCTCTAATTTGTGAATTTCATTTTCGTTACAGGTGATTGGAGGAAAAGCCGCACAGAAGTTTGGAGGCAAAATAGTGTTGCTGCTTGCGGTCTCAATATGGTCGGCATCGACTTTCCTAACACCGATTCTTGCCGAGTTTTTCAGTCTTCTCGTCTTTTCCCGAGCCATTTTGGGATTTGCGGAGGGTTTCTGCCTTCCCACCATATTTCACATTTTCGCAAATAATATTCAAGAAAATGAACGCTCAAGGGCTTTTGGTTGGCTGGTAGCACTTGGGTCAGTTGGACAAATGCTTGCTTCTGTGGTAAGTAAAAGAACATCTTACAGTAGCTGGAGGTGACTAAACTGGTAGTAGCCATTGTTTGTGTGCGCTGAACCATGGATGTCTTTTCATACTATTAGGCCCAATAAAAAAAATAGGCTCCTAGCGAGTTTTTTTTTTTTTTAAATATTTTATCTTATGTTCTTCAGTATGTAGATGTCTGTATTATTGTAGTGTATCAGAATTTTTCATGCAAATTTCCTTTCATAAAAATAATTCTGTATAGGCCTACTACTATATTACACTAAAAACACTTAAAAAATTAGTAACTCTTTGAGATACCATGTTATGTCGTTGATCACGAAGAGTACTACCAAGTTCTAGAGGGCGTCCTTCAAATGGCGGTAAAAGGCGTTCGTGGCGAACGCTAATGCGTCTCTATAATGCGTGTTCGAGTTTCAAACGCAATTTTGTTCAAGTTCCAAACGCTATTCGATCGTCAATAGTGGTCCCCTACCTCGTGGTAGTAGTACCCATCATGCCTGAACCGGATTTACCCTTTTCCGCCATCTTTAATTGCTACATCATGACATAGTGTCTACGCCCCCGTTGGGGCAGTAGACACAAAAAATGATTAGTTTATCCTGCATGTCTTCTAAAGGTATTTAAAAAAAAAAATATTTTTGAAAAAAAAAAATTTCTGGGTGAAATTTTTTTTTTTCCATTTTATAGTAAATTGTAAGTAGATGTTGTTTGTATTATTTCAATCATGTATTTTACTTTAAATATCAATGCACCAGAAACAGACAAAGGGAGATATTTGGCTTTAGCAAAATAGAAATTAAAAATAAAAAGCTTCCCTCCCATCTTTCCCGCCTAGATAGGGTGATAAACTAATATTTATTTATTTTTTTTTTTTTATAGGGCCTTGGTTCCTAGTAAAATTCTATTAGTACTTAATTGCATTGTGCATCAGTAGAAGAGCAGAAATGCAAAAAAGTGTAAAATGTGGCTTGTGTGCACTTTTTAAAAAACAGCAGGCTTTTTTTCCCCAATTGTACTGCTAAAGTTCACTACTTAAGGACTTGCCAAAACCAGAATCGGTGACCGAAAACAAGAAAATTTACTTTCTAATCAATTTAATATTTTCCACATTATAAGCTTTAAAAATGATAGGTCATTAATACTGGAATCGACTTACTATTGCCAAAATTATCAATTATACAGCTTCTCTGTACTAAAGTATACAATACTGCCACTTTTTTTGCTAATAATTACTCAGTTTAACATTAGTTACAGTACGCTGATTTTGGCATATGGCAATCCTGATATGTGTTTCAATAAAAAATAAAACGTTAATTTTTTTGTTTTGTTTGCAGATATGTCCTCATATGAATTGGCCAATGATGTTTTATACGTTTGGAATGCTTGGTTTTATATGGGTAGCTGTCTGGATAGTGTTTTATAAGGATCACATTGTCAGTCAACAAGAGGACCTCATTCCACCAAAAGTAAGATATAGTTAAAGATATTGATCATGGGTTTATGGAAGATCACATTGGCAGTCAGCAAGTGGACCTCATTCCACCAAACGTAAGATAAAGGTATTGATCATGGGTCTATGGATAATCACATTGGCAGTCAGCAAGAGAACCTCATTCCACCAAACGTAAGATAGAGTTAAGGTATTGATCATGGGTCTATGGATAATCACATTGGCAGTCAGCAAGAGAACCTCATTCCACCAAACGTAAGATAGAGTTAAAGTTATTGATCATGGGTCTATGGAGGATCACATTGTATGTCAGCAAGAGGACCTCATTCCACCAAACG